CTCTTTCCACTAGTATTCTGTGAGAACTTTTTAAACAGTTATATTGCATATTCCTTTTTCTTGCAACTCAAACACCATCAACTCTTAAAAACTTGTACTAGGAATGACAACTTACCCTTCCTTTATTTAGTGTTTCCTGTGCTTCTAGTTTATAAACAAGAAAATCTACAACATAAAAGAGAAAATACTAATGAAAAAACTCAGAAAGATTAAGAGTCTTTACTTAAATAGCCTAAGTGTTGTGTACACGCATTAAGATCTGAATACTTATGCAGTTAAAACTTTCCAGAAGATCCTGAAAAAAACTCTATGGCCAATTTGAAAACAATGCTCAAATTTTAACAAAATGTTTTCATTACACAGTTTCATATCTTAGTGTGAGATAGAAGGGGGTACAGGAGCAAGACTACAGATAGGGAATGAAATCTGTTACATCAACTCTCTCAACAGAGGCCCAGCAGCATCACTTAAAAGGAAAAGGACATTTATAAATCGTGCCTGTTTGCATTAGGATTTTAAAAAACCCAACTTTTAAGAAGTGTGAAAGTCTAGATTAAGTTTAAAGAAAACAAAAATTTATCCTTTTGCTCCTTGAACCTCTTTTCAGGAGGTGGAAATGCCGACTCATCTCATTGAGTCAATGAGACAGCTCAGCACTAGATGGCACCAGAAAGCTGTCAAGAACTGCACAGGAAGAGTAACTTCTTACACGTTCTTCACCTTTGCAAAAGTAGTAGTAGTTTTAATTCAGCGGCCAAATCTTCAGTCTTGGGAAAAATACAGGCTTTAATCTGAAAGTTGTAGTGAATTTAACATAACAAAAGACTTGGAGAAAACCCAGAGGGCTGCACTCTACTGGAGTTTCAGAGAGGGCAGCTGTGGAAGAAATAACAACGTGGGCCAACACTTCCCCCTCTCACACACCTAGAACCTAGTTTTAATCAGAAGATACGTAAGCATGTGTTTACCCTTAAGGAGGTGTAAAAATATTGATTCAGAGTCTAATTTCACAGTGATGGAATGCAGGAAGAGAGCCTGTGTTTTTGGCACAAGTTATAAATCCTCAGCATGCTGAGACAGGATTTACTCATGCCCACCCTCCACATACCTGTGAGGTTTCTGTACACTGATACAGACACATTGTCTATGCACACTAGGCCATTTTGCAGTGATCTGTAAACAGCACTACAGATGTTTACTTTAGAAAATGAAATTTAAAAAATGGACTAAAAACATCTGCTAAGGTGGTCCTGCTAAGGTGTTATGCATCAGTAACTCACTGAAACTTGGACAAAAAATATCTGAAGCTACTTTTTTAAATATTCAAGTTATCTTAAATGTCAAAGTGAAAAGCAAGTTCTTACCTTCTTTTGCTTTCTTATGTTCAAGTCTCTCCTTTTGTAGTGACTTCTCTAATCTTGACCTGTGCTCATATACAACTGAAAAGACAAATTTTGGACACTTTGTAAGTTACAGACACAAAACCCACCCCCAGCACACCCAGACAGCACTGGCATGGAATGTACCAGGAAAACACAAGTGGAATGAGGTCACAGGATAAAGGACTGCTTGCATGATTTGGGAGAGAAATAATTTTTTTCTTTCTTTCTTTTTTTGTATGCTTTATTGATGCTGGGTTATTTTTGTTGCAAAAACACACTGTGATTACTGTGCAAATTTGCTCTTGGAGACTTGTCAGCTGTGCTGGAGCTACATGAAAGCTCCCAAAGCTCTTTCCTTCTCAGGTATGCACCTGCACATTTCCCAGCCTTCCATTCTTTCCTGTTTATAAACAGAGCAGCTCAGTTTAACACAAGTCCTTCTCACTGTCCAAAGTATAACTTGCACTGTTTTGAGTTGCTAATTTGTATTAATTCAATGTATGATTTTTCCTTCAAATCTTGGAAACTCCTTTTCTGAGAAGTAAACTGTTGGTGAACAAAAGCCTTCAACAGGAAGCATCAAAAGATTTGCATCTTGGCAGCCATAGAAAACTCCTCTTGCATCTTAAAACACGTTCTTAATTCCACCAAGGTGCAGGGTATTACCTGCAGGTTACCTGCAAGTATTTACATTTTGGCTCAGAAGCTGGATTGCTAATCAATCCTTGTCAGTCATCTCTACTGTGCTATTTATCTTCTAAAGTCAAGGGCATCAGTCAAGATGAACTATGTACCAACATCCTCTGCAACAAAACAAGCATGTAATGAATATTCACAAAGTTACCAGCATGAAGGCTTTCAGGGAAGAAAAAGAAGCCTGCAGCACTACAGTCATGGTTTTATCTGGGCACCGAGGACTCTGGATGCTGGATTATATTGCAAAAGGAACAGTGGTTGTAGCATAGCAACTCAGGAGAGAAATGAAATCCATAATGGTTTCCCCTCCCGTGCAATCAGGAGTAGAAATAGGCTTTTTGGCAAACAGACTAAACCACAAATGCATTCAGAGGTAATATTTTCCATTTCCTTTGTTTGTCTGCAAGCCTACCTTCCTCATCTCCTCCTTGTCTTTTAAGTGTGTGGGAGGAAACCCTGCACACCAAACCCATAATGAGGGCAGGAAGAAAGGAGAACACCATAGTTGGGGTTCCAGGGACTGAGATGCTCTGTACCTTTCCCAGTCACTGCATCTCTGCCCAGCTTTGGCTTTCCTGTCTTCCCTCTGCAATTTGAAGTGATGTCTCTACACCTTTCCCACGTAGTGCATCCTTCCTGCTACCTTCTGTGTGCTTTGAAATGCTGGAACAAAACTGGCAGTATTTTAAAACAGCCCCTTCCATGGACAAAAGAAATAGGAAAAGCTTGCTCCTACATCTCTCCTAGTTCCTTTACTGGTTGGTTCAGCAATGCTTTGCTCTGATAAAAGTGCAACATAATGAAGAAAATAATTTATAAGAAAGCCTACCTTCAGTATTTTCTCACTTGTTCATGTGGGGAGTAGGCTGCAGGTTAGATTTCTTAAATGCATATAGGAGTTTATCTCCCATAAATGTGAGTTATTTTCACCAGCTGGGAACTTCCTAGGCAGGAGTCCAAACTACAAGGCTCTTGTTCTTACAACAGGGAATTCTTCCTTCTTTGTTACCAGCCTGGGTGTAAGATGTCCGGGCAAGAAACTCAAAGAAATAACTACACTAAAAAACATGTTTTCTATTACAGGTTTCCCAGATGGTGGTGGAAGCTATATAAGGAATCTGGCAAATTCCTGCTAGTGTGATGCACCGACACAGCACCTCACAGATGATTTATTCACAGGTAAGTTCTTAATGTTGTACTGAGCTTTTCACAAATAATTGAACATTTCATAGAATGGCAAAAAAAAAAAAAAGGGTAAAACACTCCACTATCATCTAATGGCCATTATGCACTATTCCAAAACTGAAATAAATGCAGTTATCAGTTTAATTATTTAGGTTATCTATAAATGTCACCTACATGAACAAAGAACAACAAGGATCCACAGGGAGGTGATCCAGCCCCAGAGAGCAAAGCCCAGAAACAGAATCAGGAACATCACAGATCATTAAGGCACCTTTTGCCTTCCACAAGGAAATACGTAACAGGTCTTGAATTGATCCCAACTAAATGAAGGCCTTGATTTAAGATTTTTCTCATACAGAAATGAAAGTGGAGGAAAAAGTGGAAGGGTGAAGCTCTAAGGCTTCTGAGACAATTACACCACTCTGACCATTGCTGAACATTAATTGCAACATAGGAGTCAAGCCACATGATGAAAGCAAGATTATTTAACAGCCTTGGTTATTTCTCTTAACTTGGCTTTGCAGCTCTAAGCAGTAAAACTATTATTAAGCAAAATAGCCATTATTGTATATTTAAAAGAAAATATCTCCTATTGTACATTATTAGCAATTTTGCAGCTGCATTACTTTGGTATTTTGGTCTGCCATTAGCATGATTCCAGACTCTAAAATAGCCCAGATCCCATTATCTCACATACTGGAAAATTAAGATTACATTGGAACTTAAATATACATGATGCAAGAAATCTTATTAATTTTTATTGTTTCTTATGCAAATCTGCAACCTTTCTCTGAGCTTAAAGTAACACCTTTCATTTAAACCCAGCAGATTTCACTAGTATTGGCAACATTGAATGTTAATTTCTCTCAGTGTTGTAAGCCACAGTGGCACTTTTCTAGTGACACTATGAAGGTCTGTAGAACATAGATTTGTATAAAAATACAGTTCACTTCCAATTTTTGTGACTGGAGATAGAAACATTAAAAATGTGAACCCATGCACATAGCTTTTCTGCTAAGGGAGTAAAGGATTTCCATGAGGCAAGGAGGAATCCCTTCAATACGGGATTCAGGATAGATTTTCTAGTCCAATGACAACAATAAATACATTAAAAGTTATCTCAGAAGAGATTTCTTGACTTATCTGATGATAATGTTTCATGCTGGGAGAGCACATGATTAATATAGCAAGACCTGCTCCCCAAGTTTCCAGCTGTGTACATGATTAAGTCAGTGAATCTGGCTTCCAACAGGAGATCTGGTATTTCACTACTAATAATCTTATCAGAAACAAACTATCAGACTGTGGGTAGCCTGGAAAATTATCAGGATTCCTTGCCAAAGTACAACCCATACTGGTCATAAGACACATTCCACCTGTTTCAAAGATTCTCATTTGAAAGTCTAGCAATAAATGGGTATGCCAGGGACACTGCAAAAATCTAAAAAAGAAAGGAAGTATTCCCACAATAAAGACTAGGAAAATTAGTAGAGCACAAGAAAACAACATTACAGAAACCATATATTTACAATATATTGACCAAAATATTGAAGGTATATTTTATGCCCTTGAAGTTTGCTGGTTTGACTTTATATAAAAAAGGCAGAAACAGAAGCTAAGATAATGTGAAACTGATTGTGTGTGAAAACAAGCATTTTTCTGGCTTAATCATGGAACAATTTTGCACCCAGGCAGGGATTGACTGTGCTCATTTTCTTCACTGAAAGCCACAACTACCACTGTGTGCAGTATCACAATTGCGTTTACTTTAAAAGAAACTCCTACACTTTTCAGTTTACTCACATGAAGAACAATCAGGTAATAGTTTTGTCAACTTAGAACCAGTCACTGCAACAGAGCAGAATTCCTCCTGGCAAACCAAACCATGCATTGGTCGTTGTGCTTTAAAATAACCACTGCTTTGACTTAATTCTCTACTAACTTATGTTGCTCAGAGCATTAATCATTTTAAGAGAAGTTTGTATTTTAACATCCAAATATTCACATTGAGGGTTTATGTAGTGTTTGGCACAGACCTACTGCTGATTTCCACTGCACAAGGAGAATGCAGTCACGTGCTGCTTTCAAAGGTCCTACACCAAGAATGACCAATTGACTAAAATAAACCAATTCCTCTGACTTAGTCAGTACTCCAGTATGAAACCAGAATTGAAGACTGGAAGCAAATCAGGGAGATTTGGGTCTGACTAGCTTGAGTGCAGACAAGCTGCTCACACCAGAGCAAGATGCCATCACATGGTGCTCCCAAGGTTCTACGGGAACAAGATGCACCAGTGCCATGCAAACAGCTCCACACAGAGCAGTGCATGGAGACTGATCAAGTGTCTGCACCTAGGTGAAAGTTTACCTATAAACTAGTTCATGTGACACTAAGTGTTTGGAATCCATTAAAACTCACAAGTCACTCGTTAACTAAAGCTGTGACTCCTGCTTTTGGCTCAACAAACTCCAGCTCAGTTCCTGGTGTCTTACCCAGGACAAGAAATAATCACTGATGCTCTCTGTGGAGATTGCCTTCTACCAAGGGGTCTTCCCACACTAACAGTGCAGAGCATGCTAACAGATTCGACAAGGTACCAGAACTAATCATGAGAGAACTTCAAAAAGCTCTGGAACATACGGAGACTTCAGGTAAGAGTATAAGAAAATTCACACGCTTATCAAACCTTGAGCTTTGCATTCTTAAAAAAGAAAAGAGGAAATCTGAAGCACAGCATGGAGAAGTGGTGCAGATCTTGAAATTTTTGCTTTGATGGCAGTCCTGGAAATGGAGGAGTGTTGGGTAATTGGACAGATTATTGCAGTTTGCCCCAGAAACACTTAAATTTCTAAGAAATAGCTGTGGCCTCTAGTCAATTAGAAGGATGACATGAAAATTAATTTCTAAACTGGAGTAAACATCTACATTTAATAGAATCCTTTTATTTCACCTTGCCTCATGTATTCCCTTTCTTAAAAGTCAGTAACACCTCTAGGGATAACAGATTTTAAATCAATTGCAAGTAAAACAATGATAGGTTGGGATATAGGGAGGTATTTAACACAGTCAAGCAGTAAACCGTAATAGCTGCTGCTAAAAATACAAGTTTGAGAAGGAGGATTAAACGTGATTTAATATTTAATCCCTAACAGTCAAGCTTCAGACATGACTTTTA